CGCTGACGCAGGCACAAAGGGGATATGACGCCATCGACAGGCGACCGGTGAAACGCAGCGTTACCTGAATAAAATGAGTTTGAACATTGTTGGAAACATTTGGGATAATGTAAGAACTCAACTACATATAGAACATAAAGCCAGGGTTTATACACTGTTTAATGAGGAAATGTTTGAACCTGGTTCACTGTGTTTGTGTGACTGTTTGCAGGTTAAGTCTTTGGCCGACTCCATGGACGACTCCCTCACCTGCCAGTCTGGCCGTGAAGACTCACAGGAGGTGGGAGGAGAGGGAGAGGACGACGATGAGGAGGACGAGGAAGAGGGAGATGAAGACGAGGAAGAGGAGGAGGAGGAAGGGGAGGAGGACGAGGAGGAAGATGAGGATGAAGATTACAGAGAGTGTGCGTGGCGCAACGCCAACCCATCCTCCCGTCGCTTGGCAGGCCGGTTGGGAGGAGTGGGAGGGAGAGGAGGCGTGGGAGGAGGAGCTGCCATGCACGAGGACAGCACCGCCACCTCCTTCAGCGATGTCACCCTCTACATGGACGAGGGCTGCCTCCCCTCCTCACCGCTCTCCCGCCCGCCATCCTCGCCGCTCTCCCGCCCCGCCTCCAGCTCTGACACAGAGTACTGGGGAGGGGGAGGAGGAGGTGCAGGGGGGAGGGAGGACAGCAGAGAGACAGAGGGAGGCAGCAGCGCCAGCCGGAGGAGCAGCACCCCCTGCACAGAGTGTCGAGGGGAGTACAGAGGGAGAGCAGGAGGTGGAGGGGGAGGAGGAGGAGGACACCTCCCCGTCCTGACTATCGAACCACCCAGTGACAGCTCAGTGGACATGAGTGACAGGTCAGCACAGCCAATCAGAGAGCTTCTATCACAAACATACCAATGTACAGAATACTTTACATTACTACTGTATTACCTACTAGGGCTGCCCCCGACTAGTTGACACGGAATAAATAACTTCAAGTTACACAAAAACAAATACTTGCGGTCTTATCAATACGATGAACGATGTATAGCGTTACTTACAAATCAAGTCACTACAAACTCGCTCCTCTTCATGTCTCTCCTGAACCCGCCGTGTCTCCGTTGTCCCCAGAGTCAGAGTCCTGGTTGGAGCCGCTGTAACTCACGTGGCCTCCGTTGGTTTAGCAGGTTGCTGAGCCTGGTTCCGTTGCCCGTCAGCTGATAGGACCACTAACTAGCTAGTGGCAGCTCCCTGCGACTGTGGTGTAGTTCATTTATAGCCTAACGTTAGCTTTTTAGGAGATTGCGTTTAGATTATCTTACTGAACAGAACGTGTAAGTATCGTAATCCAAAATCCAATAGAAAAATCCCAGAAACCATAGCGATGCCAGCATCCCGGTTGGACTACATCCTTTCAGCTCTCTGTATGCTTTACTTTCACCATGTCTGGACTCGCTAACATTAACTTCATTGTTCAAATCTTCAGGTCAGAGCGAGGCTCTATCGGACGCCTGGTGTATGAACAGGAGCCGTCAGGAGTCGAGCGAGGAGGAGAGAGGGAGAGGAGGGGAGGAGAAGGGGAAGGAGAGAGTGGAGAGGATGAGCGAGGAGGAGGAGGAGGAGGAGGGGGAGGAAGCAGCGAAGCCGACTCTCCGCAGGGAACGATCAAACACAAACCCAACGGCCGCTCCACGGCGCAGGGGCAGACCCGCAGCCCCGCCAACGTCCCCTTACCAATGCCTTCGGCCCGGACCCTGCCGCCACACCCGCTCCCTCACCCACTCCAACACCCCCACTCACACCCCCACCCTCACCCGTCGCCCATCCCCCATCTACCCACCATCCTCCACCACCACCCGCAGTACAGCCAGCCGCACATCATGCACATGCACCACGTGCACGGCGGCAGCCCTTACATCCAGCACGCTCACCACTTCGCCCAACACCACTACCACCACCTGCACCACCAACACCACCACCTCCCCCACGGTTACCCAGAACCCCCTTCCTCTCCGCTGCCCTCCCCGGTGCCGCCGCTCACACCTCTCTCACCCCTGCCGCCACCACTCACGCCCTCACCGCTGTCCTCCTCTTCCTCCTCTGCGCTCCAGAACATGGAGGCGCAGCAGCAGCACCTCGCCCACCACCCCCATCTCCACCACCACCACCTGCTCTGCTCTGACGGCGACAACGAGAGCGTCAACTCCACCACCACCAACTCCAACGACGACACAACGGTCAACAACTGCAGCTCCGGCTCCTCGTCACGAGACAGCCTGCGTGAGCCGATAGGAGGAGCCGCGCTGGGCAAACAGACCTATCAGAGAGAGAGCCGCCACAGCTGGGACTCTCCCGCCTTTAACAACGACGTGGTGCAGCGGCGGCAATACCGCATCGGACTCAACCTGTTCAACAAGTAAGCATGTGTGAGCGAAGCATTCAGGGTTCAACGTTCATGTTTTCTTTTCTTTCTGGGTCAGTTTTTATAAATACAAATAGTTTTATTTTTAAGCAGTTTCCAAATAAGAACAAAGACCTTCTTAGCTGCCATGCAAGCGAGTGACGTTCTTCAGAAACAATTCTGTTTAATCCGCCTTGCTCTCAAACTTCGACCACATCCTCTGACGCCGACCAACTAAACTCCTGTTTCCAGGATAATTGAAATCCCTGCTTGCTCATATCTCTGTTCCCTCCTTCCTGCAAAACATGTTTTCATGCTGTGATTACGATACATTTCACTGTATCTTTACAGTTGAAGTTATAGGGCTTGCAATAATCTGCCATATTGATCCAGATTCATTAATCAGAAAGCATTGAAATGCAAATTTTTTAACAAATCTGTGGAAGTAAATCTGAAACTCTCGATAGCTCACCTGGTAGAGCTTCCTGTCTCTCGTTTGTGTGCAGTAAAGGCTAGAAAAGCTCCACCAGTTAAAATAGAAATCTACTGTCAAAATTGAATATTCTCAATAATTTATGAGCTGGGATCCGGATGGGTCCCGGACCCGGGCCATGGTCTGCCTGTTAGTAACTTTGCTACTAGGGGATGGAGATGGGGGATGTATTTTAGTCATGGCATCCTCCTTCAAAAAAGTTGAAAATGTGATTTATCTGGGCTACAGGAAGCCGGAGAAGGGGATCCAGTACCTGATCGAGAGGGGCTTTGTGTCGGACACACCGGTGGGCATCGCCAGGTTCATTCTGGAGAGGAAAGGACTGAGCAGGCAGATGATCGGAGAGTTTCTGGGCAGCCGGCAGCAGTTCAACAAGGACGTCCTCGAGTGAGTACAGGACACAGGACCACTCTGAGCAGAGACACATTTTTCATTTTCTTCTTTCTAAAGTTACATTGTTCTGTTGTCTTATAGATACATAACATAATAAAAGTCATACATAATACATAAAAGTCAAAATGTATTTTCTCTCGTCTTTATTTGCATATTTGGTGTTCAGATAATCCAAAAGTAATCAAGTTACATTACTTTAATATGTGACACCTGGATTAGGTTACTGACTACATTTGTTAACAGGTCATTAGTAACTGTATCAGATTACATTTTTAAAGTAACCCCTCCCAACCCGGCCTGTATCTCTGTGTAGCTGCGTTCTGGATGAGATGGACTTCTCGGGGATGGATCTAGACGACGCTCTGAGGAAGTTCCAGGCTCAGATTAAAGTTCAAGGTGAAGCTCAGCGGGTGGAGCGGCTGGTGGAGGCCTTCAGGTACTGAACTGCATCACAGGTTTGAACCCCACAGAGGATACAGTGACAGACCCGTGGAGTTCATGTCTGCTCTCTCTCGCTCTCTCTCCAGTCAGCGGTACTGTGTTTGTAACCCGGTGCTGATCCGCCAGTTCCAGAATCCAGACACCATCTTCATCCTGGCCTTCGCAATCATCCTCCTCAACACGGACATGTACAGCCCCAACGTCAAGCCGGAGAGGAAGATGAAGCTGGAGGACTTCATCAAGAACCTGCGGGGTCAGTCTGTAATAAATGTAAAACAGTAGCTGGATGAAAAAGAGTTACTTATTTACAGCTGTAAGAACTTTCATCTTATTTAATTAATCAAATTAAATATCAATTTGGGATCACCCTTTAAAGTAATTAGCATTGAAGCTATCAGTGTAACCTTTGATTGTACTTTATTCTGGCAGTGTTGGATAGAAGTACTTTTACTCCACTGCATTTATTGAATAACTTTACTATGTAGATTAATACAAATGTAATCAACAAATAAATTATGATGTATTATGGATAAAGACTTCACAAGCTACCTGGAGGTATATGTATATATATAGTAAGAAATACTATACTTCACCTACTACAACATCAATAATTATAATCCAACCAGTTTTACTTTTTGTACTTTAAGTATATTTTGATACTAATATTTTTGCACTTAAATGTCTAGTGTGAAACATTTAGGAGGATCTATTGGCAGAAATGGAATATAATATTCATATGTTTGTTTTCATTAGTTTATAATCACCTGAAAATAAGAATTATTATGTTTTCATTGCCTTAGAATGAGATGCTTTTACCTGAAGGAGCTGGTCGGTTAAACGTTGTTAATATCGCAAGTCAACACCAGAAATACTTGTGGGTTAAACTAATTATCATATATTATTAATCTACAACGCTGCTTAATTGCATCTTTCCAGGGACACAGCCCCAGCAGCCCCCGTCCCTGCACTAATGAATCCACTGGTTTTAAGAGTCCTCTTTGTCCCACTTTAGAATTTATAGTCCTAATATTTGGTTACTGTAGTCTGCTTTGGGATTCTTGCAGCTGATTTCACTCTCTACTATCTAACCTCACACAACTAATCTGTTAGAAATGGCTCTATTCAGGGGAAAGAGGATGGTGGAACTGGAGCTGAACAGAAAATAAAACTATGGTGAGTTAGGATGATTACTGAGAAACTAGCAATTATCATCGCCGAGCCGCCATCTACATTTTGTGGTTCACATCACAAAGTGAATCCAGCCAGCGGTGTAAAGAGTATGAAATAGAAACTCTAAAGGCATCATGTATCAGGTTATCCCACAACAGTCAGTCAGCCATGAGAGCGATCTCTCTCTTCGTCTAATAACATGAACAACACCTTCATTTTCTTTATAATCATTCATGCCGTTGTCGGCAGAAAGTTATTGCCAATTTCAGTAGTATCCCACGTGTTTAATGACATTTAAGTCCGGATAATGTCACAAACTGCCCCCACATCAAATGTGTGTAACAGGATATCACTGCGGGTATCTAACAGAGTAACTCTGTGTGTGTGGTTTGTGTATTTAAAGAGTGGTTCAATTGTGATCAATTCAAACCAGAGATGCTGTTTCTGTGGCATCAATCAGAGCTGCCTCTGACTCTTCTGAGTCAATGATTATTGTTTAATTGATCGATTATAAAGACAGAGAGATGTGAGTCCAAATCTAAAGAGCAAGGAAGGGTGTTTTTATGTATAACATCAGCTGAGAGAATTGTTCATTAGTAATCTTTAATGTTTTATTTTTTCTATACATTATAATTTCGTATGTGCGACTCAAGCTGTGTGTCTCCTTCAGGGGTTGATAACGGCCAGGACATCCCCAGAGACCTGCTGGTGGCGATCTACGGAAGGATCCAGAAATGGGAGCTGAGGACCAACGATGACCACGTGTCTCAGGTCCAGGCAGTGGAGAGGATGGTGGTCGGCAAGAAGCCTGTAAGACCCTCTGACATCTTAAACCAACACCTCAAAATCTCGATATAGCTCAACATGGTGGCACACAAAAGCACCAAAACTAACTAATTTAGTTGTTTTAGTTAAGTTTGTTTTTGAATTGGATTTCACTTGGAATCACTGATTTGAACTTTTAAAAGAACCACTGTATGATCACAATGATTCACTCAAAGTAGATCAATAATAAAAGTGTGTGTGTGTGCGCGTGCGCGCTGCAGGTGCTATCGCTGCCTCATCGCAGGTTGGTGTGCTGCTGTCAGCTGTTTGAGGTTCCAGATCCGAATAGAGCTCAGAGGAGCGGCGTCCACCAGAGAGAAGTCTTCCTGTTCAACGACCTGCTGATGGTAATCAATACACCCTTTGTTAGTGTGTGTGTGTGTGTGAGAGAGAGAGAGAGAGAGCATGTGAAGAACTGAGTTTTGCCATCAGTTCTGCATTTTTGGTGGGAAAGGGAGTTGTGTGTGTGTGTGTGTGGGGGGGGTTGCATTACTGCACTATTTGGGTTTTGGTTCTTCCTCAGAGGACCGTTTGCTCTGGAGCCACCACAGCAACGGTTTAGTCCATTAATTGCAGCTGGTCCTGTTTAATGCTGAAAGTCGAACTTCCCTATATAGAGAAAAAACACAAACACACAGTCCTGAATGGAGGAACTAACTAATAACAACACACAGTATGTGTTTGTATAGTTCAGTGATGAAGCTGGTTTTAGCCTTGCTCAAACTGTGTGAATTGCTATATAAGTTTTGGACCTGAACGGGTCTGAAAAAACCACATTAATCCAATTTTGTACATTAACAGGTTCAGTGGTCTTAAAAAAGTCTTAAAAGATTAATTGATTAAAATGATGATTATCTGTTTGTAATTAAGTCGCTTAAATGTGTTTCGGTAGGGTTGTTTACAACTACAATTCTAACTTGCGGATACAGAGTACCGTACAATACCAAGGACAGTTCTAGCAGTTACTTTAAAAGCATTGTTTTATTGTCCATCAGATGATTCCACTTTCTGAACTGCCAACAAATTAAACTTGCTAAGTTGCTTCTCCTCCACCTAGCTCTGCCCAACGCTAACGCAGGTTACTACTTCAAGCGTGGTCCACCAAATAAGCATTGGCTATTCTTCCCTTTCTCAAAAGAGTATAATTTAAACTTGGATTTTTCCGCAGTACAGGAAACTTAAGATAAGAAAGAACAATACATCTCTTGTCAGAGTAACCAGGGTAAAGAATGTGAGAGCCGGCGGAGGACAGCCTGCTGGGATGGTCCTTTATTCTTGCTCACTTTGCAGTCAGCTATTGTTGTTCAGAGCTTAAGTGTAGGAGCCATATGAAGAGTGTCGAGTGAATCTGTTGTTTAGTGTATTATATCAAAGAATAGATAATGTCCCTGCATGTCACCTTTTTCTAAACCACACGTCAGAAGATTTAATTGTAGACTTTTCGGCGTGCATGTTATGATGTCCACGGAGCTCAGTGGCGGGTATCAGTGTCTGGTAACTCCTCAGTATTGGTAAGAAATGGGTTATTGTCTCAAACGTGAAACCTACCAACACTGGAAAAGAAATATTGATTTGTGCCTTCATTCATTTTGTAACTTATTCTTGACCCAGTATGCATATAACAGTCTCACATTGCATCTTATAAATGTTTCAATTACCCTGCTGAAACCTCAGGGAACCCTGGACCTAAGAGGATGAGAGACCACAATGTCTTAAGTATGTGAATAAGGTTGTTTGTAATGATTGAGAACCATCGATTGGGTATATCCCAACTCTTCAGCGTTTTTTACCATCTTGTACTCATAATGTTTGTTTTTCGGTACATGTAGTGTTTTGGTTCAAAGTTTCAACCTCTTTTTCACAGTTGCAGGCAGGGCAGTCTGTTTTCAGGCAACGAACTCCGGATAATGCCGCTTACCTACCTGTGGCCAATGCATGCAGGTGCCACGTCTTTGCCGGCTTTCATCTTCGTACTCTCATATCTGAGCAATGCGACGTAAACCAATCTGCTGGAATGCTTGCAAGCAAGCGCTGCTCATTGTAAGATCAAAGCAGTGACTGCATGGTTCTTCTGTATTTTCATAGCTGACCGTGGCCCAAACAGCACGAGGGTCTGAAACGTAGGTCTTTTCATCGTTGCCATTAACTCAAATGTGAAGAAAAGGACTGGAAGATGTGAGGCCTTGAAAGCTAGGAATGTGGGCCAGCTGTCACATGCCAGGACTTCGGTGGTTTATGTCATCTCAGGTCCGCAGTGGTTGTCTTCTTGGTTGCTTACAAGTTGATGTGTTGAGTGATGGTGGCAGAGTTTTGAGTGGGGTGGGGAATGATGTTTTCACATTCATCTGTCTGAGAAGGGAAAGGTTCTCTGAGCTTATTGAAGTTCAGGATTTTAAGGGTGGGCTAACACAAGCATGAATTGGACATAATTTATGAAGGCTCAGTAAACAGTTTCCGATGAGTTTTCTGGTCTCAGTCCTCTAGTTTCAGTCTTTTTTCCATACAGCCATGATGTTATTTAAGTAATACTGATTGGGTCATTTAGAGTAAAATTGACCAGATAAACAGGGGATGCTTTTTAGGGCGGGGCGCTACCTTGTAATTGACAGTGAATAAAACAATAATTTTAATACAAATCAACTTTCAGTACATGTTTTGATGCTCAGAGTGCTGATTCTTATATCCCTCATTCATCTTGAATATAACAATATGAAACATAGCTAATACATGTAGATAAAGGGAGCGTTCACAGGGTTACAGTCATACAGAGGTCATATGAAGGTCAGCACAGACGTCGACACGAGTTTATGAATTGTGAACCAGCACCGCTCTGACAGACGCTCTCTCGTCTAAATAAAACATTTAAAGCTTGCTGTCTCCACGCGGTCGGTGTCTTGTGTTTGTGCTCAGAAGATGACGAGATTCAGCTTCATTATTAATGAATCATTTCTAATTTATTTACAATCTGACAAAAAACAAGCGGAGGGAAATGTCTGCAGTTTATGGAGAAAATATGTAAATGTCTCACCTTGAAAATGAACAAAAGAAACAAATGAAGATTAGAATAATCAAACACTCCTTCTCCTCCTCAGGTGACTAAGATCTTCCAGAAGAAGAAAACCTCAGTGACGTACAATTTCAGACAATCATTTCCTCTGTTGGACATGCAGGTCCACACCTTCCAAAACACCTGTAAGTACTGCTCTCTCTCTCTTTATCCCTCTCTCTCACTCTCTCTCTCCATCTCCATCTCCTCTCGTCCATCTGCTCCCTCCATCTGTCTCAGCCTTCTCTCCATTTTATTTTTTATATCTCTATTTCTTTTTTGCACTTGCTCAACTCTCTATTTTTACCCCGCAGTCAGCAGGCCCACTGAAAACACACACACACACACACACACAAACACACACTGAGGCATATGTGAGGAACCATTTTTTTCATTTTCATTTCATTTATTTTATTTATAAGGACAATATGAAAAAAATACAAAACAAATCTGATCGGAGCAATAAATCAGAAGTGAGCACTAAGACTGGCAGTGTGAACGTAGTCTGTCTGATAATAGGTCATCTGAGTCACATGACCTGTCTCCTAAAGTCACAGATTTAAAGACTTTAGACTCGACAAAATCAAAAAAGACTTACAGTAACACCAATGACTCGTAACTTCAATTGAACTTAAACTTTTTGACTTGAAATAATTTCTTTCCCCCAAACCCAAAGATTGTGTTTCACCAGTGAATTAATTTCCCTTAAATTCCTGAATTAACTAACATTAACATTATTCAGTCTGAGCAAGTTGACACTGGATTACCCAGATCCACTTCCACCCCAGGTTGACCCAATCCAACAGCATCCAATCAGGCAGTGGCAGGAGAGAACCATAATATGTTTGTTAATATATTAATCTGTTGTTAAAATGGCAACACATTTGGTGAAAAAGTCTAAAGTCTAAAGTTTATGATTTGGGACTTCACTTGGTGCTTGAGTGCAAATACTTCAGACTTATTTGTGAACCTTAAACCATTTAAATGTATTACCTCCAACAATTTAAGCATAAAAAATATTTGATTTGAGTACAAGTAACTTAAGTAAGTATTTATTGTTAAGGTAACTTTGGTAAATTAAGTTAATTGAACCAATTTAATGACAAGCAGAATTTAATTTAATGTACAGTTAATCAATTATCAAAATAGTAGCCAATTATTTTTTGGGCTTTAGGACATTTTTATAATGATATAAATTTAACTTAAACAAAATGAGTTAATGGAACAAAATGGAATACTCTAGTGCAGTGGTTCCCAACCTGGGGTTCAGCGCCCTTACTAGGGGTCGCCAAAGCTTCAAACTTCAACATAATATAGACACAGATTTTTATAAAAAGTTCCTAAGAGTATCAGGGAAACTATATTCAATATTCACAGGAAATAATCTGCTCAAAACGCATCAAAATCGCTTGTTTTACACAGAATTTCTGCAGTTTATCCATTTTTCTGTAATGTTATCGTTATGCATTAAATATAATATGAAATATCCATAAAATAGGACATCGACAGGGCCTCGTCAATTTACTCGATGATAGAAAGGGGGGGTCACTGCTCTAGAGGTTGGGGTGTGTTACATACAGTCCATACAGAGGTTGCAGTAGCTCATTTCTGAAGCTGTGCAGTCTTTACTAGTGCGCCTTAGTTTGGTCAAACTAAATTGAAATATGCACCAAAAATGCATGTGGGACAAAATTTGGAGACTCTGTCCCACTTGGAAATGTTTTCAACAATCTGTTAATAATCACTTGGCAAAACATAACAGTACTTCCCTCTCCAATTACTGAAAGGACTCTCTGTCTGCCAGCCTTTTCTTTAAATCTAAGACATCGTCAGTCTGCAGAAGTGTAGTCGGTACTCCACCGAAAAACACCAGCAGCAGATTTCAAAGAAACACACTGGAAGCATATCACAGGATTTCCTAAATATATGACTGTCAATCTGAAAACAAGGCTGCTTAGCTGCATGCCTCAAAACATGACTCATTCAACCGACACATTTTTCAATAATGATGTTAACACAGTCGTATGCGGAGTCGTGTAAGTGTGTGGGTGTGTGTGGTGAGCCTCTATATCAGCAGAGAAGAATTGGCTCGCAGTGTTGTGCAGCAGATTGGAGTTGGTGGCGTTTCAAATCTGCCTCAGCACCTGTTAACTCTGAAGGGTTTAGCTCCCAAATCACATCCGCCATTTTCAAAAAGGCTCTATATAATGTACCTAAACCAAGGAAATGATGGCAGAGCCGAAACTACGGTCGAGCTTTCAACCCGTTAAAGAGCAACATCCAGGGGTTTAACTTCTCACCTTGCTGCAGTGATGTAGTAGTGTACTCCAGGGTGCACCACGACATCACTGCTGGGTGTGATTACAGGCCCAACCACATCCAACCAAACACAGTAATGTCCATCAGAACGGCGTCGTCAAATAGCTTCAGAACCCCCCACCAACACATCTTTCTGAAACCCAACGGCTCTTCAGAAACCTATGGGTGACGTCACAGAGTCTACATCCATTTTTAATTCTACAGTCTATGGCTGTGATTGGTCAGGGTTGGAACCCCTCTCAGGACGGGTTCACGCCTAAAGGTCCAGTTCCTGAATCAAACCAATGCGAGAATAATACATTAATCCAGTGGTTCCAGTTTGTGTTCACAAATACAAAACTCAAACAGTCCAGAAATAGAAAACAAAAGCCATGTGGTGGAAATGTTATTTGATTATTGGTCATATAGTTGGCGGGTAAAAGGACAACAAACCCCTCCTTATGGAGCACCGTCAGGTTCTGTTCATATTGGTGTTAACAAACATATGAACGTCTCATAAGACAGCAGGTATTAAATAATTGAATAATGACAGTATTTAGAGGAAATAACTCTGCTGTCTTATCACAGAAGACGTCAGGCTCTGATGAGCAAACACGACTAGTTCACCAGTCCCTAAAACAGGAAGACTAAACGTTTATTAACCAATGAAATGACACTTACGATGGTATGCTTCCTGAGATTAGTTCGAACAGTGTTCATATCAGAAATGCAGTTGCACCGACCATTTCCATAGAAACCAAATCTATTGGGGAAATTAATATTAAATGATGCCAAAGAACATTTAATAGATTGGTGCAGCCAAAATTCATCAATTTGAATATTTCACATAGCGTAAACATCATAAAATACTTAAAGTGCTATAAAATGTATATGCTGCTGTTAGATAGTTTGGAACCTTCAGTTCAGATTCAATGTGTATTTTTAAGGAGGATCTATTGTCAGAAATTGAATATAATATTGATACATGTGTTTTCATTAGTGTATTTCTAGGGTGGCCCAGAACAGACAAACCAAACACTGGTTGTAGACAGAGACTGTTTTTTATGTGTTTTAGTTTCAGCTCTAATGTTCTGTTGCATCGTGGCATATTACATGTTGTCACATTATCCTGGTGTTAGTGAGTTATTTCGACTCAGAGCTGTGACAGTAAGGTCAGTGTGTACTGAAGCTGCACTGCAGTGTTGTGGTTTAGTTTCTAAGATGTTTTTGTTTAGTTGTTGTTGTTGTTGTTGTTGTTGTTGACAGTTCTGGTTCTCCAGTTGGAGCTTAATGGGACTTGGCAGACTGTGGTGATGACTGTGACCAGGACAGATTGTCCCATATGATTCATCAGCACAATCTTACATGGACTGCTGGTGTGTGTGTGTGTGTTCATGTATGTATGTGTGTGGGTGGATGAGTACTGTGTGTGTGTGTGTGTGTGTGTGTGTATTATGTGGGAGGAAGGTAAGGTATACAGTATATGTGTGAACAGTCCTGTCTTTAAAGGTTCAGTGGGTTTAAACACTATACAGAAAAGATCACAGTACATACAGTAAACCCATTAATTAAAAAATAAAGAAAATATTAAAAGATAATACAATTGAAAACACACAATCAGTCAGTCTACAGACACTTACTGGAGCTCTAGTAGCACAAGGTAAGCCTGTAACATCACCAGAGTTAGTCAGTGGTGGTCTAAAGGTTAGAGAAGTAGTATATCTGGGTTTGTAGAGTGAAGCAGCAGCGTTTGCTCTTCCCTCATTACCGTGACAACTACCACCAGGTCACAGGCTTTTGGGTCAGAGGTCACAGTGTATAACGTGTGTGTGTGTGTGTGTGTGTGACCCAGACTACCCTCACGGTATCAGACTGACGTCGGCGAACCCCGGAGGAGAGAGGAAGGTGCTGATCGTCTTCACGGCTCCGAGCCAGCAGGACCGAGCACGCTTCACCTCCGACCTCCGAGAGAGCATCGCAGAGGTCCAGGACATGGAGAAGTACAGGGTGGAGTGTAAGTACTCCTACCACAGTACCGCTGCTAGTAAAGTGGTACTGTGGTAGTATTAACAGTTCCAGTAGGTATAGAGGCAGAGGCTGTGGAAGCTGTAATGTTACTGTAGTGGTCACACTGGCATTCCTTGTAGTAGTGTCAGTAACAGTGAAAGCAGATGCAGTAGTACCAATAGTTATTACATTAGTAGTAGTGTGATCCTGGTATAGCGTTAATAATAATAAATAATAATAATGATGATATAATAATAATGATTATAAGTAATAATGATAATAATGATAATAGCAGTAGTAGCTGTAGTATTACAATATAGTAGCAGTATTTGTAGGCAAAGATTGGGTAAAAAATACAATACAATGTACAAGTACCTCAAATTTGTACTTAAGTTCCTTGAGGAAATGTACTTATTGCATTATAGTAGTGGCAGTACCAGTGGCAGCAGCAGTATTAGTGGTATTAGTTGTAGTAGTAGTAATAGCGGTAATCGTAGCAAACATGTTAGTCGTAGTTGTTGTACTTGTAGAAAATGAGCGGCAGTAGAAGTTGTACTTGTGAGTAAGTTATTAGTAGGGTGAATAAACACAGCAGTAACAGCACATGCAGTAGTTGCAGTAACAGTTGTAGTAGTTGTAGTAACAGTTGCAGTAGTTGTAGTAACAGTTGCAGTAGTTGTAGTAACAGTTGCAGTAGTTGCAGTAACAGTTGCAGT